AGTGTGAGTGTGTGTGAGTGAGTGTGAGTGTGAGTGTGTGAGTGAGTGTGTGTGTGCGTGCGTGCGTGCGAGCGAGCGAGTGTGTGTGTGTGTGTGAATACTGTACATACATACATATATATCTTCTTGTCTAAATGGGCCATTTTTGACAGAATGAGCTTTAGAGTGGATCACATTTTATGCCAAAAACTCTGTGAGAATAATATTTTATTAGATTGGAAAAAGATGGAAAACATTTTAAACATTGAAATGCTTGGTTAATGATACCTTCATTGTTTACATGATGAGAAAATTCATTTCAAAGTGATTTTGATAAACGAAACGGGTACATTTATAAGAAAGTAAAGAGCGAATTTTGAATTAGAATTTCTACATGATGTCCCAGAATCCCCCGAGCAGCTGCTCTGAAAGATCAAGAAGATACTGGAGGAAATCTGAGCTTCAGCAGACGTCTAATTCTCCGACGAGCGTCTAGACAGCTGCAGGAACCGAGGAACACACCCAGCTCAGTCGGGAGGCTCAGTTCATCGCTTGTTTTGGCGTGATGAGGAGCTGAGGGAAGTGAGCTCAGATCACTGATAGATCCTGTGGCTCTGCGCCGAACGCTCACTCTTCAGTCCAGAGTCAATACAATCATGGCTTCTCAAGTAATGCCGCTCTGTTGCACGGTTTTGTTTTTTGGGTTGTTATTAAAGTGAGAAGTGAGTGCAAATGTACTGATCAAGATTTTCTAATGCTTTCGAAAGAAGTCTCTTCTGCTCACCAAGGCTGCATTTATTTGATCAAAAATACAGTAAAAATGTGTAATATTATTACAATCTAAAACAGATGTTTTCTGTGTGAATCTCTGTTAAACTGTAATTTATTTCTGTGATGCGCAGCTGTATTTTCAGCATCATTACTCCAGTCTTCAGTGTCACATGATCTTCAGAAATCATTCTAATATGCTGATTTGCTGCTCAAGAAACATTTAGTATTATTATTATTATTATTATGTTGAAAACAGCTGAGTAGATTTCTTCTGGTTTATTTGATGAATAGAAAGTTCAGAAAAACTACGGAAGTTCTAAGCGGCCATGCAATATATATTTTTTCTTTCTTGTTTTCTCGTTATAACGACTTAATTTTCTCATTATCTCGACATAACGGGAGTTGTTTTCTCGTTATAACGACTTAATTTTCTCATTATCTCGACATAACGGGAGTTGTTTTCTCGTTATAACGACTTAATTTTCTCATTATCTCGACATAACGGGAGTTGTTTTCTCGTTATAACGACTTAATTTTCTCATTATCTCGACATAACGGGAGTTGTTTTCTCGTTATAACGACTTAATTTTCTCATTATCTCGACATAACGGGAGTTGTTTTCTCGTTATAACGACTTAATTTTCTCATTATCTCGACATAACGGGAGTTGTTTTCTAGTGATCTCGACATGAGTTGTTTTCTCGTTATAACGACTTAATTTTCTCATTATCTCGACATAACGGGAGTTGTTTTCTCGTTATAACGACTTAATTTTCTCATTATCTCGACATAACGGGAGTTGTTTTCTCGTTATAACGACTTAATTTTCTCATTATCTCGACATAACGGGAGTTGTTTTCTCGTTATAACGACTTAATTTTCTCATTATCTCGACATAACGGGAGTTGTTTTCTCGTTATAACCTTTATCATCACTTTTGATCAATTTAAAGCATTCTTGCTAAATACAAGTATTAATTTCTTAAATAAAAAATTATACTCCAAGCTTTTGAATGGTAGAGTATATAATGTTACAAAAGCTTTTTATATCAGATAAATGCTGATCTTTGGATCTTTCTATTCACCATAAAATCCTGAAAAAAAATTAATCAACTGTTTTAAATATTGATAATTACAATAAAAATGTTTCTTGAGCAGCAAATCAGCATATTAGAATGATTTCTGAAGATCATGTGACACTGAAGACTGGAGTAATGATGCTGAAAATACAGCTGCGCATCACAGAAATACATTACAGTTTAACAGATATTCACATAGAAAACAGCTGTTTTAAATAGTAAAAATATTTCACAATTTTACTGCTTTTGCTGTATTTTGGATCAAATAAATGCAGGCTTGGTGAGCAGAAGAGACTTCTTCAAAAAATCTTACTGTGTATGTGAACACATGACTAGTCATTAAGTGTAAATATCAGGGGTCATACTGTTCGGAGTCATACTGTTCGCTAAAGGAACCCATGTTTTGTGTGTGTGTGTGTGTGTGTGTGTGTGTGTGTGTGTGTGTGGTAATCAGAGTTTCAGTTCACCTGGTTGTTGACTATCACCCGCACTAAGGCTTGTCCCAGTGACCTCTGAACTTTCACCCCAGCAGATGAAGCTCTCAGCGCCGACACGTGATTGGCTGTCCTCTGTCCTCTCCTCCTCCTCCTCCTCTTTGATTGGACTGGTAGGTTCTCTGTGGGGGACATTAATGTTTCATCTGTGCACATGCATGTCATGACATTCGGTCGCATAATGCTATCAAATGAATCAATGCTATCAAATGAATCATCTCAGTGGCACAAACACACATGTAGCAAAGGCTACAAAAACATGACAATTTTGTATCTTTTTGTATTTACTCTCCCGTTGAACAACACAAAAAGACAGTTTACCAATCACTTTTAATCTCTGTGCTGCTGTTTTCATAAAATGAAAGCAGAGAAAGCAGTCTTAAAATTGAGCTTGATCAACTTTAAGGTCATTAAAAGTCTTTAATGATCATTTTGAGAGGTCTTAAATTTGAGAATGGAAACAACAGTAATCTTGATGTGGCCTAATGTGACCCTTCAGCTTCAGAAGTAGTGTTTAATGAAATAAATGTGAGCTCTGCATGTTCAAAGTACAAAACTGGCACTGTTCCATTGACTCGCCGTTTCAGAGCAATACCACGCATTCATGCCAAACGGATTGCTTATGATCTGCTGGTGATGAATTTTGACAGTGTTTAGTTTATGGTTTTTATATTATATTTTATGTGATATGTTGTAGAACAGTTTTATCTTCCTCATCTATTTTAATGTGCAGCTAAAAACAGTACAGCAAAGACATTTCAAAATAAGAGTCCACTCATTCGTATATTAGTACATTTTAAATAAATGAGCCTATCTACCATATCAACCAATTTCAATACATACTGTATTGAATAAACGTGTCTTGCTTTGCTAATAAGCAGTAGTAAGTCGTCATTAAATGTGTGCACCAACCTGTTTAATTAAGTAAAATAATCTGAGAGACACAATTCATTTTGGGATTTTATGGGTTTGTGCTGTAGGAACATACAGTATTCTTAAAATGAAAAAAATGACTCCAATGTCTTCTAATGTCATCTGTGTGAGGAATATAGTGAAATAAGTCACTGCCGTTTCTGCCAAATGCTTAAACGGCAGATATATCTGACCACTGACAACTTTCACGCTGGAGGTTTATTTGTTAAACACTCTCAGCCATATGTGGACACTGATCAGATATTCTACAGGCACACCAGTTGTTATGTGAGTCTGAGCTTTTAGTGTGGGCTGAATACCTATAGTCTTACTTTTCTGGAGAACTAGTTGCAGAACTAATGGCACAACTAGTGCATTTAGCAGGTAATCAAGGATATAAAAATTACTTTATTAATCAGTATTTTGTCTTGTTTTGTTTTGTTTTGTTTACCAGTAAAAATACCTAAACATTCTTAAAACAAGATAAATATATTTCATTGATTAATAGGTAAAAATTATTTCAAAACCTATTTCAACTTAAATGTATTTCAAAATATATCAAAAACTTATTGCTAAATCTATTTCAACTTAAATATTGTTTCAAAATATATCAAAAACCTATTTCTAAACCTATTTCAACTTAAAGCTGCAGTCCGTAAGTTTTGCCTCTTTGTCGCCATCTCTGTTTGAAACCTGGAATTGCAGCTGTGTGCGGAATTATCTTCATTGCGTGGGTTGTGCTCCGGCACGGCTCCAGCGCGGATGAATCTAATGTTCTGAGGAGTGTGTGGCAGTCAGTCACCGCACCGGTGTGGATATTGTACTTTGCACTCACAGATTCTAGCATATGTCTTGGAATATATATCTCAAATAAGTATTTTCACCGGATATTGTCATCTGAACAAAGTAACAAGTCTGCCACGTTTGTTCTGACCAACTGAGGAAAAAAGCATTACAATAAATCGCGCTACCAATGGTGATTTAATCTAAATTAGCTTATTTTTAAACCAAAAAAAGTTACGGACTGCAGTTTTAAATATTATTTTAAAATATATCAAAAACTTATTTCAAAACCTATTTCAACTTAATTTTTTTAAATAAATATATCAAAAACTTATTTCAAAACCTATTTCAACTTACATTTATTTCAAAATGAATCAAAAACTTATTTCAAAACCTATTTCAACTTAAATTAATTTGAAAATACATCTTTGTTTTGGAGGAGGCGTGGCTTTGGAGAGTGATTTGCAGGGAGGGTGGGATCTTATGCTTTCAAAGCTAGCTCGCTCTTCCTAGCCTCTTCGAAACACTACACTACCTTTAAACCATAATGCTTTTATTTGGTGGAAAACATTAAAGCTTCTCTTTTGTTGAAAACAGAATAACAAATGACTCTTTTTAAATATTTCTAAAGATGGTTGTGCGTGTTGCATGAGTGGCCACAGTTTGTGCACAGCTGATTTTACTGCGAACCGAGCCGTGCTTTTAACGCAGTTCACGAAGGTCGTACTTTTTTATGTCGGAAAATACATAAATCTGTATAAAAGTCACATCCTGAGTGTACACTCCCCTGTAGTTAGGCCTGGATGTGTTGTAGTTGTTGCCGAGATTTTAGTATTTGGCATTACCTGACCCTTGTAAGTAAATGCACCTTTTAAGAATCAATTTGTCATTGGAAGTCTTTCTTTTGAAACTTGCGCAGAGAGCGCAGAGAGAGGGCAAAGGTCAGCCTTTGAACACATGGGGCCAAGTGTCTCCTTCACAAAAGAATTAAAAGAATTAAAAGGGAGAAGATTTTGCTCACTCAACCGTATGCGCAATTATACCTGTTGGTTTGATAAGTGTCCGGGTTGCTCAAATCCCACTGCTGTTCCTGTCCAAAACAGCCCACACAACTTCCCTGAGGGGTCCAGAGACAGGCCCTGCGGTCCACCGAGATGCTCAGAACAAAGAGATGAGACTCGTACGCCAGCAGCTCGCTGCTCACTATCGCCCTCTCGTGGCCCCTCCAAGAGTGCAACAGCGAGGGCAGATCTTCTGCAGACTGAGACAGACACACATGAGATTCCTTCAGCCATTTATCCTAATGCAGAAACACTGAGCGTGTTTACATGCACGTTCTTAAGCTGGTTATGCTTAATAAGCCGAAAATGCATGTGGTCATGTAAACGCTGTAACCCGTTTTCTTTTATTGGAGTAAACGGCGTAAGTATAAACTGGTCGACACATTCTTACTCGGATTTTGCGTGGCATGTAAACGCAATAACCTGCTTTCTGACGGCTTATTGAAGTGTGAATGTGTGATACATGACAGGAACGCATCGTAAGTGCAGATTTAAGCGCATTTAAACAGAGCAAACGTTTTGCAGTAAAGAAAGAAGGAATATAGAAGTGGTTCAGTCAAAACGCTGCATTTATAACTGCATGAGAGGATAATAATGTGACCCTGGAGCACAAAAGCAGTCATAAGGGTCAATTTTTTGAAACTGAGATTTATACATCACCTGAAAGCTGAATAAATAAGCTTTCCATTGATGTATGGTTTCTTAGGATAGCACAATATTTGGCTGAGATACAAATCTGGAATCTGAGGGTGCAAAAAAATCTAAATATTGAGAAAATCATCTTTAAAATCAAAAACTTATTTCAAAACCTATTTCAACTTACATTTATTTCAAAATGAATCAAAAACTTATTTCAAAACCTATTTCAACTTAAATTAATTTGAAAATACATCTTTGTTTTGGAGGAGGCGTGGCTTTGGAGAGTGATTTGCAGGGAGGGTGGGATCTTATGCTTTCAAAGCTAGCTCGCTCTTCCTAGCCTCTTCGAAACACTACACTACCTTTAAACCATAATGCTTTTATTTGGTGGAAAACATTAAAGCTTCTCTTTTGTTGAAAACAGAATAACAAATGACTCTTTTTAAATATTTCTAAAGATGGTTGTGCGTGTTGCATGAGTGGCCACAGTTTGTGCACAGCTGATTTTACTGCGAACCGAGCCGTGCTTTTAACGCAGTTCACGAAGGTCGTACTTTTTTATGTCGGAAAATACATAAATCTGTATAAAAGTCACATCCTGAGTGTACACTCCCCTGTAGTTAGGCCTGGATGTGTTGTAGTTGTTGCCGAGATTTTAGTATTTGGCATTACCTGACCCTTGTAAGTAAATGCACCTTTTAAGAATCAATTTGTCATTGGAAGTCTTTCTTTTGAAACTTGCGCAGAGAGATGGTAGCCAGGGCAAAGGTCAGCCTTTGAACACATGGGGCCAAGTGTCTCCTTCACAAAAGAATTAAAAGGTCAGAGGAAGAGAAGATTTTGCTCACTCAACCGTATGCGCAATTATACCTGTTGGTTTGATAAGTGTCCGGGTTGCTCAAATCCCACTGCTGTTCCTGTCCAAAACAGCCCACACAACTTCCCTGAGGGGTCCAGAGACAGGCCCTGCGGTCCACCGAGATGCTCAGAACAAAGAGTTGAGACTCGTACGCCAGCAGCTCGCTGCTCACTATCGCCCTCTCGTGGCCCCTCCAAGAGTGCAACAGCGAGGGCAGATCTTCTGCAGACTGAGACAGACACACATGAGATTCCTTCAGCCATTTATCCTAATGCAGAAACACTGAGCGTGTTTACATGCACGTTCTTAAGCTGGTTATGCTTAATAAGCCGAAAATGCATGTGGTCATGTAAACGCTGTAACCCGTTTTCTTTTATTGGAGTAAACGGCGTAAGTATAAACTGGTCGACACATTCTTACTCGGATTTTGCGTGGCATGTAAACGCAATAACCTGCTTTCTGACGGCTTATTGAAGTGTGAATGTGTGATACATGACAGGAACGCATCGTAAGTGCAGATTTAAGCGCATTTAAACAGAGCAAACGTTTTGCAGTAAAGAAAGAAGGAATATAGAAGTGGTTCAGTCAAAACGCTGCATTTATAACTGCATGAGAGGATAATAATGTGACCCTGGAGCACAAAAGCAGTCATAAGGGTCAATTTTTTGAAACTGTGATTTATAGATAATCTGAAAGCTGAATAAATAAGCTTTCCGTTGATGTATGGTTTGTTAGGATAGAACAATTTTGGGCCGAGATACAACTATTTGAAAATCTGGAATTAGAGGCTGCAAAAAAATCAAAATACTTAGAAAATTGCCTTTAAAGTTGTCCAAATGAAGTTCTTAGCAATGCATATTACTAATCAAAAAGGAAGTTTTGATATATTTACGGAAGGGAATTTACATAATATCTTCATGGAACATGATCTTTACTTAATATCCTAATGATTTTTGGCATAAAAGAGAAATGTATAATTTTGACCCATACAATGTATTGTTGGCTATTGCTACAAATATACCCCAGCGACTTAAGACTGCTTTTGTGCTGCAGGGTCACACATGTTAGCTGTAAGTTTCCCGCTGACATGTTGCAAGCTTTATTTGCAAGCTTTATAATCAGATACAAATGATTATATTTTGACATCACTACGGGGAAATAACCTGATTTATTAATGAAGTCATGCAAACGCAGTTTACTTGCGTTGTCAGGTTACTGATGTGCATGCAAACAGGGAAAACTGGTTATTTTAATAAGCTGATATTTGTGAGTTCTCCGCTTACTGGGGTGCATATGTAAAGTGCTCATTAATTTCCATACCTGCGTATCTGCAGCGGATAAGGCATACTGTGAGATGTCCCAGACCTTAATGAATCCGGCTGTGTCTCCGGTGACAAGTAGACTGTTTTCCTGGTCTGTGCTTAAACCCATCACACGCTCATCAGATCCATCAGGTGCATAGAACTGTCCTGCAGCAGAAATGATTGGCCAAACTAATCATTAATCAACTGCTCTGTGCATTTCAGCAAAACAAACACCCAGAAACTGAGTAGAAGCCAGATGATCAGATTGAAAGAAGCCTTTCCAGCTATTTCAGTATCGTTGAGCGTTTGTGTTTGTGTTAATGCAAAAACATAAAAAATCTTAACTATTCCAGACTTTTTCAGATATATTGTGGTTTCTGAAGTGAAGTGCAATTTAAACCAGTCCTCAGTTTAAAAAGGTCTATATTGTAGTGTCTGTGATGTGTTAAGTTGTCATTGTGTTTACCGTGTTTGTGTCTGGGCCCAGAGATGCTCCAGCAGCAGACACATCCATTCTGTGAGCTGAGAAGCACAGCGCCGCTTCTCAAATGACTTTGCTGGGCTCGTCTTTGCAAGAACAGCAGTCTATGAACAGGACGATGAGCTCTACACACACAGATCACTTTTTTCAAGTAACTAGTAAAGTAACACATTACTTTTTAATTTACA